GAGCCCCCTGCAGGGAACACACTCTCATGCCCACTGCTGCAAAGTCCCCTGGGCTTCCGGGGACGCTCCCCCGGTTGATGTATTGCCCGCAGCAGAGCTTGTTTGCCTGATATATATTGAGCTGTTGGGTTTCCAAGTTAGTGCCTACAGTTTCACCAGCTGTCACCCCGGGGAGGCCAGCCATCCTTCATTCGCACCTTCTCTGCAGCCCCGAGGGCTCCAGCAGGCTCGCAACAGAACCCTGTCCACCCCCTTCCCTCCCTGCCCCACCTGGGCTCCTGGATTTTCTTTGGGGAGAGGAATGGTCGTGCCTCCCCCTGGCTTTCCTGCTGGCAAACAGATGGTGTTTCCTGATGGGAGGAGGTGCAGGTGCCTCATTCAGCTGCAGCCACAAAGCCAGTGCTGGGCAGGGAGGATGGGGGTGGTAGATGCAGGGTCTTCTTGCTGAGAAGAGGCTGGGATGGGTCTCACCCCTTTCTCCATGCGTCTAGAGGAAATTCCTTGGCTCTGTGGCCATTTCTGTTTCCATCTGAGATCCTGAGTAGGACCTGGGGTGACCCTCACATCCAGTTGCTAGGACGGGGCTCTCTGCTTCACCTCTACTTTCTCTCTGGATGTTTCATTCCCTGCTGTATTAGTCAGGCTCTCCAGGGAAACAGAACCATTGACTTGTGCAGTTATGGATGCTGAGAAGTCCCAGGATCTGCAGTCGCCAGGTTGGAGACCCAAGAGAGCCGACAGACAAAGGGGCTGGTGGTCCATGTTCTAGGCCACAAGCCACAGGCTCCGGAGCTAAGGAGATCCAGTGTTTCAGCTTGAGTCAAAGGCCAGGAAGGACCAGTATCATAGCTCCCAAACTCAGGGTAAAGAGTTCCCTCTGTCTCAGCCTCTCTGTGCTATTCAGCTCTTCAGAGGACAGTCTGGGACCCAGCCACATGACAAGGGCCACATGCTTTACTCAGTCTGCTGATTCAGGTGTTCGTCTTGTCCTAAAACACCCTCACAGACATGCCCAGGGTCATGTTTATCCAAATGTCTGGGTGCCCTGTGACCCAGCCAAGTCCACTCGAACTTAAAGCGTCAGTGAAATTAGCCATCACACTCACGTTCCAAGCTCCTGGGATTGCTGGCTGCTCCCTTTACGTTGTGCTCTGAGGTGTCACCTACTGGAAGCAGAATTGCTGAGACCGGGGTGATTTCAGGTCTCATGGGGATGGCACAGTCTTGCTAAAGAGCAATGCATTTCTCCATCCCCAGCATTTCAGTTCAGTTCTCCAGGACCTCAAGCTGGGTGGGGCTGCAAAATGATGCTAGACTTTGGAATCTGCAGAGGTGAAATTCACACACTGGTTCTCTCTTCTTAGCTGTGCAACCATGAGGGAGTCAGTTAACCTCTCTGATCTTGATTTTTCTTCTATGAAATGGGGATGCTCATACGCCAGCATTGCAGGCTGGTGTGATGGTAACAAATGACAGATAAAGCACCCTGGCCACATGGTGGGTGCTAGATAGCATGCTGTAATTACCCTCATGGGTGTCAGTTTCTGCACTGAGCTCACAGAACTTTTGCCCTCAGCCTCTGCATATTGCTTTTGCTCTAATTCTACCAGCTTGTTTCTGATGCTTCTCCAGTCTCCTGACCTGAAATCAAGTACCCAAGTCTTGGGGAAGGGTTTGGGATTCTGGGTGACAGGCACAGGGCCAGGGCGGGCATCTGGAGAGTGACAGATCCTCAAGAGATGGAGGGAACGTCAGGACTTAGGACAGTGGGACCCAGGAGGCACGGAGACCTCTTCCTCTCCCCCTCCCGTCTCCACTTTGGATGAGCGGGATGCCGTGGTATAACCAGGAGGCAGAGACCAAGGGTCCCGCCTTCAGCACATCACAGGTAAATGGAATTGTTCAACTCAAAATATTTCGCTGGGATCTTCTGTCTAAGACTCTCAACCCAAGGGTTAGAGAATCACAGGCCCCGAGATGTTCAAGGACCCAACCTGAGCCATGGAGACAAAACACCCTGAGTCAGGAGGAAAAAGCTGATTAGCTCCTAATTGCTGTTAAATTATATATACATATACGTATTTTAAGTTGAATCTGCATGTCTAATGTGATTTTTTGATTACATTTTAATAGTCTGGCTGGGATGGGGGAATGGAGAAGGAAGGTTCTGGCATCCTTTCCCAAAGGAGGAAACTTATTGATAGGGCGGCAGAGAGGCTTTGGCTAGTGCCACATCCGGGGACCACTCAGGAAAAGAGCAAGCTCCCCGGGGGCCTGGTGGTGTTGCTCTGCCTCCAGCCAGAGCCCCATCTGTCCAGAGGGACAAGTCCATCTGCCTTGTGACTTGCGCAATGCTTTCCTCTTAGACTTTAAAAATAGCTTTCCTGTTTGGGCTCTTTGGATCCACATGCCATCTTCTCCAGGCCTTAGAATCTGGTGGTGGAGGAAGATGAAAAGTTCCAGCCCAGAGACCTGGCCCTGCCTCTGCCCCGGTGACCTTGGACATTCTGACTTCCTCCCCGCTGGGTCTCAGTACCCCTGTGTGTGAAATAAAGGCACTGGACTAGATAAGCCCCGAGTCTTTGGGTCCAGTGAGCGACGATCTACTTCCAGTCCTTTTAGGCCTCCTCTCTCCGAGTCAGGGGAGCCAAGAGGCCCCACACTCCTTTGCCCACTGAGCATCTGCCAGTCTCCATGTCCATTTTCTTGCTGGGTTCCCTCCTGCTCCAACCCAAGCCAGCTCTCCTTGGACTTTCTCCTTGGAGGACAGAGTCCTCCTCCCATGCCCATTATAGTAACTCCTCAAAGAGTAGAAGGCTGGTAGCAAATCCCTTCCACACACACACACATTCTATTTTTAAATAACATTTATTTCTGATTCTAAAAGTAAGGCTGTACCTGATCATTGCGGGAGAATTGGAAATAGACAAGTATAAAAGAAAAATGAAAATCACCCATAATCCTTCCAAACAGTGATAACCACTATTAATGGGTTTTATTTAAATACACACATATGGGGCTTTTTTTCTTCCTGTTATAGAATTAGGATTTTGCTGCAGATGTAGCTTCAGGTCACCCAAAAGCTGGCCTCAAACCTGAGTGAAGTTGTTCTTTCTCAGACTCCCAGGGCTGCTGTTCCCTTGTAGGCGGCCCACTTGGGTTTGCGGCCCCCAAGTGGACCCAGAGTTTGAATTTTGACTATCTCTGAGTGAGTGTGTGTGTGTGTGTCTGTGTGTGTGTGTGTAAGAAAGAAACACAGAGGCAGCATGAAAAAGAAACAGGAAACAGACAGACAGAGGGACAGACAGGGAGAGAGGGTGCTGATCACACCCACTGTCATGGAGCCCAGAGTCCTGCTCCCTGTGTCGGGCACAGCTGCAGCGGGGCTACCCTTGTTCCTTCCCATGGAGCAGCTGCAGCGCCTCGCTGAGCTAATCCATTCCCATCACTTGAGAAGGGAAAGCATATTTACAATCTGCTGCCCGGCCTGCCCTCCTGCCTGCAGGGGCCTGAGGAGGCGGTTGCAGCTGGGGCCAGGTGACACAGCCCGGCGTGACAGGGTGGAGGGCCTGTGAGGTAGCACCTGCCCTTCTTGGGCCACAGACCGGGAAGAGACAATGCTGGGAGTCTGGGGCTTCTTAGAGACCTGGGGGTGTCACAGCTGGAGGGACCAGGCCTGCCACCTTCTCACTTTGAGACGGGGCCCCAAGAGAGGACCAGGGCCACACAGAGAGTTGGTGGCAGAGACGGGCTGGGGGATGTCAGTGGACCATGTGTGGTGTGACTCCCCACGTGGCTGCTTTTCATTTTGGGGGTGACTGAGGAGGCAGGGATGGGAGTAACAGACTAAGAATTCATCAGGTCCACCTCACATGCTTCCAGATACTTCCAAACCCAGATGGAGCTGTCCCCTCTGGTGACTCACTGTCCCTTCTGTGCAAAGGGGAAGTTTTGAGAATGTCTAACCCAAGATCATCAGAGACTCCTTTCTTTCACTCAACACCTACCTGGCAAACACTGACCACCTCTCCCAGGAGGGTGGGTTTTTTTTCTGGTATGGAGAATTGACCCCAGGACCTTTGCACTGAGTTATATCTGCAATCCTTTTTATTTTAAGACAAGGTCTCCCTAAGTCACCAAATTGCCCAGACTGGGCTAGAACTTGTGATCATCCTGCTTCAGCCACCTGAAGTGCTGGGATTACAGGTGTGCACTATCACACCTGGCTTCCAGGAGTTTTTAAGGCCACACCCTGCTCCCTTGGAGCCCATGTCCCCTGGCTATGGCTCTCTCACTGGAAGGTGGCCTGGCTCTCCCAAGTTTCTGCTCATGGGAGTCCCCCAAATGCTGTCGGCAGGGCCTGGCATCACTTATATGGACCAGGGCTCCTCGAAGCAGATACTGCTCCTGTGTGCCCACCACAGTGACACGTGACCGCCTTTGTGCTGTGCTCCTGGAGTCTGTGGCTCAGGAGGGGACTCCGTGGTATCTGGGCCTTGCCTGGGAAAGCATGGCGCCGGGGTCACTCCGTGACTGGGCTGGGACCACCTGCAGGTGGTGTCACTCACATGTTCACACCCCAAGGTGGCTGACCTGGCTGCAGCTGGTCTCCAGGCAGGCATCCCCCAGCATGGCACAGGGCTCCCAGCATCAGTGTCCCAAGAGAGCAGAGCGGAAGCTGCATCTCTCTTTATCCCTATTCTCAAGGCCTCAGGGCAGCGTGCCCACCGTAGACCCAGACTGGGGGGAGGAATGTGCGAAAGTCTCATCAGCAGACAGCATGTGACACAGGAGACACTGGCGTGGCATCTTGGGAAAAAGCAGTCGGCTGTGTGAATCCTTTTGGAGTTCACTGCCTTTGAGGGCAGGGGACATAGAGGATAGAATAATAAATGCTATCCTTTCTCATGCATAGACCTACGAGGCACCACACTCAGTCTGCTGTTTATACCAGTCTTCCGACCTCCTCTATGGTGGGTACTGTTGTCTCTATTCTGCAGATGGGAAGATCGAGGCTCAGGAAGGTTACACTGCCCGCTTTAAGTCACACTGGCTGGGATTTGCATCCAAGTCTGCTGGCCTCTAAAGCCGTAGCCCTTAACATCCAGCTGCACACCTCTTCCAAAGTAAGTTTGCCCCCAGGCAGAGTGTGCTGAGGGAGGTAAGAAGTTTAGACAGACAGCTGTGGGGCTCAGATCTGGGAAGGCTTTTTGACAGAGGTGACCCTGAGCAAAGCCCTGAAAGATGAATGAGATCTGGGGACCTCTGGAAGAAGGTGGCAGAATCTGGAGAAGCAGCAGTGCAATAAAGCGGCCCCACATCGCCCAGGGAAGGCTGCTGCAACCCAGAATCCCGACCTTTGACCCCCACATACCGCAGCGCACTGGACAGTGTTCTCCCTCCAGGGCAGGCGGAAGCGGGGATGGGATGGGCTGACTTGGTCCCCGGACAAGGTGTAAAATAGGAAGTTCATCATCTCATTGGTAAGAACCTTGCCTATTATAGGAGCAGTTCCTACCCCTTCCAGGCCTCTCTCTTTCAAAAGTGGACCCCTCCTCTCCCACCCACCCTGGGAAACCCCGTCTCGGTCACTCTGCTTCTCTTTTTGTTTTTGTTTCCCTCTTTGGATCTGTCTCTCCCCATCCCCCAGCTGCTCTGCTCTCCTGTTTCTCCTCTTTCCATCTGTCTCTGTCTCGAATCTCTCCAATGTCTGTTCCCCTTCCCTGGTTCCCTTCGCCCTCTCTTCCTCACTTTCTCTGGACTGACAGCAGCCCCCTCTCTTCCAGGACAGACCGTCTAATTGAAATGGAGCACCCCAGAGCATGTTAATAGGAAAGGCAGCATTAATTAGCTAGCTCTGGCATAATTAGCTCCCTCCTCTCGCTGCCTGGCATCTAACTGGATAATGAGCATCTCTCCGTCCGAACAGAAGGAGGCAGGCAGGACAAGGGGACAGGCCATGCCGGAGATGCCAGAAGGTGTCCTGCCTTTGGGCCACCCCCCTGGAGTCCTCAGGCTGCCCAGTCGTGCCCTCTCCTGCCAGCCAACCCCCCCACCGCTCATGCACAAATCTCAGGGAGGCAGATGCCCAGCCCCTGCCCATGCCCAAAGGTTTGACGTTGCTGGAGCTGCATAATAAGTGGTCTGAGCCTGACAAGGGCTGCAGCTGCAGCATCCAGAAGGGGCGGGGAGCTACTGAGGGCTGGAGCAAAGCTATGACTGGCGCCTCGCCCTGGCACAGCCTCCTGGGCAAAGGCTGAGCACGTTACAGTCTCCAAAGGGGAGGAAAGAAATCTGCTTCTGTGGCAGACAGTACCTAATGTACTGGAGACTGCAGGGTACTGCCACCTCTGACCCGGAGATCCTGTGAGGAAGGAATGGCTGCCTCTGTCCTGTAGATGATGACTTACTGTCTTGCCCATAATCACACTGCTAGGACCCAAACCAGGGTGTGTCATCCAAATACCACGTCCTTTCCTTTCTACTGTGGTACTACTTCCTGAAGGTACTTACAGCTGCTCACTATATAAAAGCAGTTGCTGTGGAATCCGCTTTGACAGTGGCCTTGAGTTCTAAAGTCAGAATGCAGCAAAAATTAGAAAATCATCTGTAGGCAAATTCTTCTCATAAGGGTCTCTTTCTTACACAAGAAGAAACGTTTTGTGTGTGTGTGTGTGTGTGTTTGTGTGTGCGCGCGCCCGCGCGCGATTGGGCTGTAATTCTTTTTCTGTGGCCTTGAAAGCCAAGATCTAGTTGGGAGAGATGATGAGGAAATAACAGGATTTTTCTTTCTGTTTGGTGCCCTCGTGTTCCAATTCAGTAGCATTGGATGCCTGCTTGGTGGTGTTCCATCACTGTATTCATGTCTGTTAGAGGGGGCAGGGTCGGTGCCAGGGTTGGGACCACGAGCTCTCTCCCTGCCCTCTGTCCAGCTGTGACCCTCTCCCTCTCCTGTAGGCTATGGACTCAGAAGATGACCCCCTGCTGCAGGACGTGTGGCTAGAGGAGGAGCAGGAGGAGGAAGAAGCCACGGGGGAAGCCTTTAGGGGGACTCAGAAGTCAAGGGCCCGTCCTAGGGCAGGCGGCCAGTGTTGCTGGCGGCGCTGGACCCTTCCGTCCCGGCCCCCAGCCTCGGGTTTCTGGAGCACCCTGGGGTGGGCCTTCACCAACCCGTGCTGCGCTGGGCTAGTGCTCTTCCTGGGCTGCAGCATCCCCATGGCCCTGTCGGCCTTCATGTTCCTCTACTACCCGCCGCTGGACATCGACATCTCTTACAACGCCTTTGAGATCCGCAACCACGAGGCCTCGCAGCGCTTTGATGCCCTGGCTTTGGCGCTCAAGTCCCAGTTTGGATCCTGGGGCCGCAACAGACGGGACTTGGCAGATTTCACCTCCGAGACTCTTCAGCGCCTCATCTCAGAGCAACTGCAGCAGCTCCATCTCAGCAACCGCTCGCGCCAGGCCTCCAGAGTCCCACGCGCTGTCCCCGTGGCCACCTGGGACACCTCTGCAGCCCAAGAGCCAACGGCCAATCGGAGCGGGTGTCTTCGGCGTGAGGCCCCACCCCCGAAGGTTCTAGTGACCAACCAGAGTAACACTTTGAGGGATCCGCCTACAGACAGTAATGCGTGGCACCAGCCTAGCGCTGCGCCCCCTGTGGCTGCAGCGACCAATCAGAGTCGTGCCCGCCGGGGTGCCTCGCGCTGGGACTATTCTAGGGCCTATGTGAGTGCCAACACCCAGACGCACGCACACTGGCGCATCGAGCTCATCTTCCTCGCACGCGGCGATGCAGAGCGCAACATTTTCACTAGTGAGCGGCTGGTCACGATCCACGAGATCGAGCGCAAGATCATGGACCACCCAGGCTTCCGGGAGTTCTGCTGGAAACCCCATGAGGTGCTCAAGGACCTGCCACTAGGCTCCTACTCCTACTGCTCCCCACCCAGCTCACTCATGACCTACTTCTTCCCCACCGAGAGGGGTGGCAAGATCTACTACGATGGCATGGGCCAGGACCTGGCTGACATCCGGGGTGAGTAGATTCCGGTGGGTCCGGGCGGGCCTTGGGTCTCGGAGTCTGGCCAGTGAGCTCTGCCAGGCTGGAGCTGAGAGCTGGCCATAAGGTGAGGGCAAGGGGAGAAAGGGCTGGGAGGGTGCAGGCAGGACTAGGGGTGAGCAGTGCGAGGGGAAGGCAGGATGTTGAGGGTTATGTTGTGGCCAGAGGGAAGGAAAGTATGACGTGGAGCTTGGCCACAAGGCTGGCTAGAGGAAAAACCAGGGATCTGGTAGGAGCTAGACAGAAGAGAGCCTGGGGTTGAAGGAAGAGGGGTTAGTTGTAGGTGAATGAGGGACTGGGCTGGAGGAGTGGTGGGATAGGGCCAGAGAACAGTTGTGGGAGCTGGGGCAGGGTGTGGGCAGGCAGAACCCTGAGAGAGGGCACTGGACTAGGATGTAGAAGGTAGAGTTACAGGAGCACAGAGACCGAGAACCAGGTTGGGTTCAAAGTGGAATGAGCTGTCTGAGACGCCGGGTCTGGGGGCGACACTTTTCCTAGAAAACCTAGTGTAGGTTCTTTAAACCACCATCACTGTGCCCCCTTGGGGATCCACAGGCACCCTGAGTAGGAGTTTCCCAGCTCCTTGGGTAGGGGTGAGGTGGTGGGGAAGGGTGATGCTGAGCTCTTTGGGCCTCACCCTACCCCTGCAGGCTCCCTAGAGCTGGCCATGACACACCCTGAGTTCTACTGGTACGTGGACGAGGGCCTCTCTGCTGACAACCTGAAGAGCTCCCTCCTGCGCAGCGAGATCCTGTTTGGAGCGCCCCTGCCCAACTACTACTCTGTGGATGATCGCTGGGAGGAGCAACGGGCCAAGTTCCAGAGCTTCGTGGTCACCTACGTGGCCATGCTGGCCAAGCAGTCTACTAGGTAGGAAACGTAGTCCCACCCAGGGTGTCCCTGCCCCTGTGCGTACCAGAGCACAGCTGTCTGGTTTCCAGGTGACTCTTATTCGTAAGCTCCAGATCTCCTTCCCAACAGTCTTTTCCCTGGAAAGTCTTTCTTCCCAAATCAGAGCCAGAGCCAGGTACATCTGCGCTTTCCGTCCTGACAAGTGAAAGTCCCCTTTTTTTTGATCAGTGCTAATGGTTAGTGAACATGACTGCTTATAAGGGAGGTCAGTGATTCCAGATCTTTTGCCTTGAAGTGCTTGGGTATTGATTTTCTCCTGAGATGGTGCTAGAAGCTCATTGGCCAAGGAGAAGGAGTTTTCTCTGCCTCTAATATCCAGGGAGACAGTGAGCAAGTCACTTCATTTCCCTTGACCTCAGTGTCCCTGCTTGTGAAATGGGGACCATGATCTGATAGCTTGGTGATTAGGAAGAGATGAGCTAACAGACGTGAAGGTGCTTTGAGGTGAAAGTGCTTTAAGGTGTTATACCTGGGAATACAGTCAGCTCCTCCCCTCTGGGACAGTCCTGCTGGGTAATAACTCCAATGTGTTCCAGTCCCAGCCCTGACAGGCCAGGCCCAGGAGGAATCATTCTGCCTAAAATACCCTCATTCCTCTCATTGCTCATCATTGTACTGATCAATCACTACCATAATCCAAGCTGTTTATTGAGCACTTACTCTGGATCACAGACTGTTCACAGCCCTTTATATATGCCCTGTCATTTAATTCTCACCCCATCCAAAGGAGATGGTTGCTATTATGATTATCACTGTATGGAAATTGAGGTGCAGCACAATTAAGTTGTCCAAAACCGTCAAGCTCATCAGTGGTGGAATGGGACTCATGTGCAGGCTTTTGAATCCACAGCCCTCGCCCCTTGAGTTTTTACGCCAATTGATGCATTAGGAGATTACACCCTGCCCTGCTTCTTTGACAGGCAAATTCCTGTTCATCTGTTAAGATCCAGCTTTGGGCTGTTTTTCCCTGAGGATCGATTGACTCTCACCTTTCCTATTTTCACTGTCCCCTTCCTTCTCCCCAAGGGAGACAAGGAAGAGCATACACAGACGTTGGAGTTAGGTATCTCTGGGATCAGATCCCAGTTACTCCTTTCTTAGTGTGGGCATTTCCATGAGCAGTGTCACTTCTCTGAGCTCCAGTTTCATCCTAGCACTTGTCAGCTTGTGTTTTAGTTTTAACTCAAAGCGCAGTCCTCAAGTCAGCAACATCAGCATTATCTGCAAGATTGTTAGGCGTGCAGAATCACAAGCCTTTCCCGGAACTGCAGTATCTCCAGGCGAGTTGCACTTTAAAGTTTGAGAAAGGTCTGGTTTAATTATCTGTCACAATAGAATGTGAGTTTGTTGAGGTCTGGGATTGTTTCGGGCACATTCCTATAGGTCTAGCCTCAGTACAGGCAACCCCCTTACTCAGGATTTATCTGACAATGGATGAGCAGTGGTGCCTCAGGGAAAGACAGCTGAGAGGGGCTGATGGTACAAGGATCTTCAGGGTTTTAGATACTGGCAATTATTTCTGCCTTCAGTGTTCAGCTACTGAAACAAAATCTCTGGCCTTAGGGAAAAAGCCAGTCTTTCCTCTTCCTTCTTCCTAGAGCTTCATAACAGTAGTGACAGCCAGGGCCCTCATGGATTTGATGTTAATGCTGCCTTTTGGATGAACACAGTCTTTTTTATTATCCTATTATTGGTGACCCAAGAAATGGTAACACATACCTTGACTTAATATTGAATAACACAAATTACTTCCTGATAATGCTGGAATCCTAGAAGACCTTCTCTGCATTTATTCTTCTTCAGCCTATTGTGTTTTTGTTGTGTGCATTTTAATTCTATATACATTGGAAACCCCACAGGACGTTGCATTATTGTAGAGAGTCTGTATTCATTTCTATTTGTTCACGTATTTACCTTTCTTGTTGTTCGTCATGGCTTTCTACAATTTTACATTTCCCTCTGGGATCATTTTCCTTGTGTCTGAAGAACTCTCTTTAGTATTCTTTTAGTACAGGTTTGCCAATGATAAATTCTGTTTTATTTGCCTAGAAAACATCTTTATTTTACTTCCACTTTTGAAGTCTGTTCTTGGTGGTATTGAGTTATAAATTGGCAGTTATTTTCTTTTGATATTTTAAAGATGTCGCCCCAGTGTCTTCTAACTTCCATCCTTTCTGCAGAAAAGTCAGCTGTAAATCTTTTAGTTGTTCTTTTAAATGACTATCTTTTATCCTCTGGTTTAAGATTTCTCTTTGTCTTCAGATTCACTAGTCTTTCTATGGAGAGTATTGGAATGGTTTTCTTTGTATTTGTTGTGCTTGAGTCACAGAACTTCTTAAGCCTCTAAGTTGATTATTATAATCAGTTTTAGAAACTTTCTTTCTTTTTTTTTTTTTTTTTGGTACTGGGGATCGAACTTGGGACCTTGCGCTTGTGAGGCAGGCACCAGAACCACTGAGCTAGATCCTCGGCAGTTTTAGAAACTTTCTATTATTGCTTCAAATATTGCTTCTCCCTTGATCTCTGTAGCTCTTTTGGGGACTATGGTCCCATCTGTCTTTTCTAGGTTTTATCTATCTTTTTCCTTTCTATCCTTTGGTTTAAGCATTCCCGTTCACTAATCCTGTACTCTATTATGTCTAATCTGTCATTTAATGTCTGTTGAAATTTAATTGCTAATGTTCTGTTTTTCTGTTGAAAATTTCCACTGGTTCTTTGTTATAGATCTGAATCACTAGTAAAATTTTTCATATTTTACTTTTTTGTACAGAGTCTCCCCTCTGTTCTTAAATATATTAATTACAGTTACTTTAAAGTTCTTATCAGGTAACTTCAACCTATGGATAATCTGTGGGTTTGCTTCTGTGGTCTGTTCTCTCACTTGGTTTTTAGTCATGTTGTCTTGCCTGTGGGTAACCTGATAGTTTTTATTGCATGTTGAACATTTTGTATAAAAACCAAAGAAATCGAAGTGATGTTCTTCCCTCCACAGAAAGTTCATCCTTCCCTTCTCTAGGTTGGTAGCTGTGTGACTGATCACCTTCACTACAGGAAGTCAAGGATCGTTTGCAGACCTAAAAGTTCTCATTGTACCTCTAGTTTGCTCCAGGTTCTCCAGGATTTTCAACTGAGAGCCTGGTGTATTCTGCAGAGTCCTTTCCCATGACATGTTGCAAACTTAGTTTTTATTTCTCAAAGCTACTTACAGAACTCCACTCTGCTTTTCCCTGAGGCTTTCTGCTTGGGAATTTTTAGCTTCATGCCCCTTACAGCCCAGTCTTTCAGCAAAAGTGTTGAGGGAAAAGCTAGCCATGCATCCTACCAGTTTGCACATCTCTGCCCAAAGCTCTGCTAATTTATTTGACTCCAGGCCAAGATTTGTAGTCTTTTGCCCATGTTCAGAAGCAGCAGATGCTGCCAAGATAAAAGTGACCATACAAAGGAAGCTTACCTTTCTTAGGTTCTTCAGTTTCTGGAGACTTAGCCTCCTAGTTCTTATTACTTTAGCAACTCTGCTGTCATGAGACAAATAATTTCTGAGTTTTATCTAGCTTTTTGGTATCATCACTCCTCAGGTTCTATATCCTCAGATTAAACAAATCATGGATTGAAAATATAAAGTTAAAAATGTATCTGCACTAAACATACAGATTTTTCTTGTCCTTTCCTAACTAATATACTCTAACAATTATTTACATAGTATTAACATTTTATTAGGTATTGTAAGTGATCTACAGATGTTAAGATAGTATAAAGTATATGGAAGGAGATATGTAGGTTATATGCAAATACTACACCATTGTATACAAGCACATTGAGCATCCATGGATTTTCATTTTTGAGGGGCTTCTGGTCCAGTGCTCCATCAAGAGGGACAGCTGTAGTTCTACGCAAGGATTCTAGCCTTCCATGAGCTGTTCTTTTCTACTTGAGAATAAATGTTTGGGCTCGTGTATTTTTATAGCTGAGAACTAAGACAAGACTTGGAACCTGGACAGCGCTTTATAAAGCTTCACAAATTAATGTGTAAATGAATAATGATTGATTTAACTCTCAGTTTTCTACTCGAATGAAAGAACAATTAAGCTGTTTAATTCAACAAAGTGGGTAATCCAGAGATCTTTTCTACTTGGCTTTTATATGTCCTGTTCATGTTTTTAACAACTTTATTGAGGTATAATTGACACACAACCAGCTGCAAATACTTAACTTTACAATTTGATTAGCTTTGACACATATATATATACCACAAAATTGTTGTTGCAATGGAGGTAGTGAACATACCCCCCTGGGTGCTATAGCACACATCTGCAATCCCAGCTCTAGTTGAGAGGTTGAAGCAGGAAGATTGCAAGTTCAAGCCCAGTCTGAGTAACTTCGCAAAACCTATCTCAAACATTTTTTGGCGGCGGGTACCAGAGATTGAACTCAGGACCTTGCGCTTGCAAGGCAGGTGGCAGAACCACTGAGCTAAATCCCTGGCCCCTGAACATTTTTAAATCTTAAAAAAGGAGTTGAGAGTTAGCTCAATCATAGACCACTTGGCTACCATATGCAAGGCCATGGGTTCAGTCTGCAGTAACACACACACACACACACACACACACACACAGAATCATATCTATCACCTCCAGTGTTTCTTCATATCCCTGTAATTGGTCCATCCTTTCTCCCAACACCCACCCTAAGTTGCCACTCTCAGTTTTCTGTCATTATATATTGGTTTTCATTTTCTGCAGTTTTACATAATTTGCATGATACAGCATGATACTCTTAATTGGCATGGTACTCTTTTGGGTTTGGGGGTTTTTTTGGGGGGGAGGGTACCAGAGATCGAACTCAGGACCTTGCACTTGCAAGGCAGGCAGTGGCACTACTGAGCTAAATCCCCGGCCCGGCATGATACTCTTTTGATTGGCCTCTTTCATTCCATCTAATTAATTTGAATTGTGTCCATGTGGTTGCATGTACCAACAACTCTTACTCTTTTTTGAATTCTGAATCTATTCCATTGTTTGGAGATGCCACATTTTGTTCATCTGCTCAACTCTTGATGGCTAGTTGGGTTGTTTCCAGGTTTAGCTATTACAGATAAAGCTGCAAAAGACATTCATATACAAGCCTTTGTGCAGACATGTACTTTCATTTTTTTCTTAAATACCTAGAAATGAAATAACCCAGTCATATAGTAGACATTTGTTTAATGTTCTAAGAAACTACAAACTCTTTTCCAAGTTGATTGTCCCGTTTATATTCCCACCCGTAGTAGTGTAGGAGAATTCCACTTGTGCATTCTAACACCTGGCATGGTCAGTGTAAAACATTGTAGGTATTCTAATAGGTGTATAGTGGCATCTCATTGGTTTCAGTTTGCATTTTCCTAATTACTAGTGATGTTGAACATCTTTTCACATGCTTATTTATATCTGTTTATCTTCTTTGGTGAACTGTCTTTGCAGAGCTTTAAATTCTTTTTGTGTGTGGTACAGGGGGTTAAACTCAGGACCTTCACACTGAGTTACATCCCCAGCCCTTTTCTTATATTTTTTATTTTGAGACAAGGTCTTGCTAAGTTGCTAAAATGTCCAGGCTAGGTTCAAACTTGTGATCCTCTTGCTTCAGCCTCCCTTGTGCTGGGCTTATAAGTGTGTGCCACTTTGCCTGGCTATATTTGCCCATTTTAAAATTGGGTTTACCAGGGATTTACCTCAGTGGTTCTGGCACCTGCCTCGCAAGTGGAAGGTCCTGAGTTCAATCCCCGGTACCAAAAAATAAATAAATAAATGAAATAAAATAAAATAAAATTGGGTTTTACAGTTAATACTATCATTTCAGGTTAATCTTTGTATATAGTGCAAGATATGGACTGAAGTTTATTATTGTTATATGAATATTGTAATTTTTCCAGTAGCATTTCTTGAAAAGATTATTCTCTTTCCACTGAATTTCCTTTGTACCTTAGATGTACCTTGTCATTTAAATGTGGGTCTATTTCTGGACTTTCTATTCTATTTCTGTCTGCACACTCGAATAACATGGCCTTGATTACTGTAGCTTTATACCAGCTCTTGAAATCAATGTTAGGCCTCCAACTTTGTTCTTTTTTGAAGTTGTTTTAGTTATTCTAGAACCTTTGCATTTTCATATGAATTTTGGAATCAGTGTGGTTCTACTAAAAAAACGCAAAGAAGTCTACTGGGATCTTGAGGATGATTGTATATAATCCATAGATCAATTTGAGAAGTGATATCTCAATAATAAGTCTTAGGACTCATGAACATAGTATACCTGATGTCTTCATCAGGTTTATCCCCAAGCATTTAATATTTTTGTTATTGTAAATGGTGATTTTAATTTTAGCTTCCAACTGTTAAATTCCTACTACGTAGAAATATAGTTTATTGTGTGTCCTATAACCTGGCTGATTTACTTACTAGTTCTAATGGGTTGCTTTTTGTTTGTTTTGCTTTGTTTTTGTAGATTCCTTTGGATTTTTTTTTTTTTACATAAAATCATGTCTTCTGCTAACGAAGACAATTTGCTTCTTTCTTTTTTTTTTTTTGTTTTTTTTTGGTATCGGGGATCGAATGCTTCTTTCTTTCTAATTTAGATGCCTCTGATTTATTTTCTTGTATTGTTGCACTGGCTAGTACCTCCAGTACATTGTGGGGGGGGGTTGTTTTGTTTTTTGTTTTTGTACTGAGGATCAAACTCAGAACCTTGTGCTTGCCACGCAGGTGCAGCACCACTGAGCTACATCCCTGGTCCTCCAGTACAATGTTGAATGAAGTAAGCTTTGGTGATTCAAGTCCTTTATGGAATTATCCATTTCATTTATATTCAAAATTTTTGGTATAAAACATTCATAATATTCTATTATCTTTTCAATATTTATAAAAACTAGTGATTTCACCACTTTCATGTGAGTTTTCTCTCTTTTTTGTTTTCTCTTTTTATCATGCTGTTTGGCTGGAACTTTATCATTTTTATTGATCTCAAAACTATATTTTCATTTAATTTATTTCTTGTTTTCTGTTTCATTGATTTCTACTCTAATCTTCAGTATTCCCTTTCTTCTGCCTACTTTGCACTTAATTTTCTATTGTTCTGCTGTCTTAAAACAGAAGCTCAAAGGGGCCGAAGATTTAGCTCAGTGGTTCTGCCACCTGCCTGGTAAGCGTAAGGTCCCAAGTTTGATCCCTGGTACCAAAAACAAACAAACAAACAAACAAAAACAGAACCTCAAGTCACTGACTTGAAACCTTTCTTCTATTTATTTATTTAGGTGCTTATTTTTTGTGGTGCTGGGGATTGAACCCAGCACACTATGAACTTTGGGCATACTATGGAAGCACTCTACCACTGAGCCATATCCCCAACCCTCTTCTTTTCTAATACAGATATTTAGTGCTATAAAATTTCCTGTAAGAACAACTGCTTTAACACATCCCACAAATTTTATGTTTTCATATTCATTCAGTGAAAAACATTTCCTATTTCTCCTTTTGATCTCTTCATTGACTCACGTTATTTATTTTATATTGATTTATTTATTTATTTATTTATTGTACTGGGGATCACACTTGGGTCCTTGTGCTTGCACAGCAGGCAGCAAAACCACTGAGCTAAATCCCTGGCCAACTCATGTTACTTAAAGCATGTTGTTAAATTTCCAGATATTTGCAGGTTTTCCAGATGTCTGTCTGTCTCTGTCTCTGCACCACCCCCACCCCCCGCAACCATGCTGATGTTAACTTAAATTCCATTGTGGTCAAAAACATACTTTTTAAGTCCTTTTCCATTTATAGTCTTGTTTTATGGTCCATTTTACCGTCTGCCTTGCTAAATGTTCCCTGAGCACTTGAATAGAAGGTATTCTTCTGTCATTTGGTGAGTGTTCTGTTAGTGTTAATTAGATCGAGTTGGTTGTGTTACTTAAGTATTCTAGATTCTTACTGATTTTGTCTTATTGTTCTAGCAATTATTATAAGAAGGGTATTGAAATGTTCAACTATAATTGTGGGTTTTCTTTTTTTCTGTCCCTTCAGTTTTTGCTTCGGTATGCTGAAGCTAGCTCTGTTATTAGGTGCAAAAACATTAGAATTATTGTATTCTTTTGATGCATTGACACATTTATAATTTTGAAATTACCTTCTTTATCCCTGGTAATATTCTTTGCACTGAAATTTACTTCATTTGTTACTAATATAACCACTTTTTTGACTAATATTAGCATAGTTTATCTTTTTTTCTTTTTGCCTTTTTGCCAATTTCTATCTTTATATTTAAAGTGAAATTCTCAGACCTGGGGATTTAGCTTAGTAATAGAGCACTTGCCTAGCATGTGCAAAGCCATGGGTTTAATCCACAGCACTAAATAAATTAATTAAATAGGCTTCTTATAGGTAGCCTAGTCTTCATTTTAAAAAATCTGACAGTCTCTGCCTTTTAATTGATATGTTTATATTTATTCACATTATTTCCATTCCTGAAATTTTTTGTTCCTTTATGTAGATTCACATTTTCATATGTTGTCATTGGACTTCCTTTAACATTTCTTGTAGTATGGGTTTATTTGTGATTATTTCAGCTTTGGTATATCTAAAAAATATATATTTGGCCATTGTTTTTGAAATATATGTTGGTTGGATATAGAATTTGGGGCAGTTTTCCCAGTATCTGAAATACCACTCCAGCGTCTTCTAACTGGCTTTGCTTCCAGGGAGAAATCTGCTGTTGTCCTTAACTTTGTTCCTCTGTATGTGATGTGTCTCTTTTTCTCAGACTGCTTTTAAGATTTTTCTCTGGGTCCACATTTTTGAGCAGTTGACTTATGATGTGCATTGTTGTTCTCTGATCCCTCTCCTGCTTCTCCCGTCTCCATGTCCTCCCTTCCACCAGCAAAGTCCAGGTCCTCTATGGTGGAACAGACCTCTTTGACTATGAGGTGCGTAGGACCTTCAACAACGACATGCTCTTGGCCTTCATCAGCAGCAGCTGCATTGCCGCCCTCGTCTACATCCTCACCTCCTGCTCAGGTAGGGCCTCCTGTGGCCCATGTGCAGCCACCCCCTTCTCTCCTGCCAGTGTGCTCCTGTCTGGCCAAAGCCTGCATTCTCGAGAGTGCTAGGATAGTCTTGAATGCAGCTTGATGGAGCTGGGCACAGGGCAGCAGGGGTTGTTCGACAGTCACCTGATAACCTTAGGCAGGCAGACAGTGGTCCAGAGGCATATTGGGTGATTCTTCAGAGCCACACCCCAGAATCTTTTGTCTTTGGCCCTTTTTTCCCATGGATGACCTTGTATTGGTGAGCTGGACTCTGTTACAGATTAGTCAGCAGCCTGTTTATATCCTAAGTCAGCTGCCCTTGGCCTCCAGTTTGTTTTCCTCCTCCACCTCCCTCCCATGTTTACTATCCACTTCTTACTGATTTCTGTATGTCCTTGGCACACTCTCTGTTGCCCAAGTGAGCAAGAGATGGTAATGCCTTTACAATGGAAAAGCCATGCAATCATCCATGCCACAAACACTAATTGGACACCAGCCATGTGCCCAGTCCTATAGGGCACTAGGATGCAGCAGTAAACCTAACACAGTTCCTACCCCACAGAACTGCTGGCCACCTAGGTGACAAACACTATATAATGGTCATAGTTCTCCGCTACTAATAAATTTAAGTTCCTAAAGATGAGGTCCCGTGGGCACTCTGACCTCATGTGGCTCTCAGACTTCCTGCCCAGCCCCATCTTTGGACCTGGAAAGCTGAAAACGGCCCCACGCCTGTGACAGAGGGTGCCCAGGTGGCTCAGGGGCAGTGAAGGGGCCTGTGTTCTGCACAAGTCTATCCCACTTCAGGCCCTGAACCTCTTCCTTGCCCAGTGTTCCTATCCTTCTTTGGGATTGCCAGCATCGGCCTCAGCTGCCTGGTGGCGCTTTTCCTGTACCACGTGGTCTTTGGCATCCAGTACTTGGGCATCCTCAATGGAGTTGCTGCCTTCGTGATAGTGGGCATTGGTGAGTCACCTCCCAGGTGTCAGAGATCTAGGGCAGGGCAGAGTGCAGCACTGGGGTTAGAACATGAGTGGTGGGTGAGTGCTTAGCGTGTGGTGGGCAGAAAAAGCCAGAAGGAGGTGAGGGTGATAGGAAGGCCCAGGAAGCATGGGCAGGAGGCTGAGATCTGGGAAGGGCTGGGTGGCTGGTCAGGTGGGTCTGTCCATGCCGTGAGCTGAGCAGCTGGCTCTCCTGGTGCCTGACCTCTCCGGCTCCTCCCACAGGTGTGGACGACGTCTTCGTGTTCATCAACACCTACCGCCAGGCTGCGCACCTGGAGGACCCACAGCTGCGCATGATCCATACCATCCAGACGGCGGGCAAGGCCACCTTCTTCACCTCCCTGACCACGGCCGCTGCCTACGCTGCCAACGTCTTTTCCCAGGTGGGAGCCGCCCCTGCCCCATGCTGCTCCCTGACGCTCTGATCCCCACCCCTCCACCTGCCCTGCTGTGACTGGCAGCTGTCACCATTCCCTAATCAGTAGGAAATGAGAATAAAAACAGTCCTCGTGACTGATGACATTAGTGTGACTCCCCCTCTACCACTGGCATTTGATAGTTTCCAGAACTCCTTCGCATTTACTCTCTACCACCCGGGCTTTATTACGGCACCATCCCTATTTTCTAATACAGAAATGGGAGGGCAGAGAGGGAGGGTGACTTCCCCAAGGTCACGCAGCCGGTAGGTGGGAGCCTGGCCATGTCCCCTGACCCTGGCCCCTTGCTTCACATTGTCACCCCTCACACTGATGTCCTCTGGCTGATCCACATGCCTTCTGGCCCCTGGTGCAGCTCAGAAAAGGGGCTAAATTTGGGCTGGGTCCTTGGTACTGAAAGAACCTGAAACACTGGGTCGGCCCCTGCCTCGGAGGACTTTATGGCCTGAGGCCAGAAGCCCACCCAGTGCCCACCTAGAAACCACTGGGTGCTCCAGGCCCATCCTGGAGAACCACATCCAGAAAGCAGGCAGAGCTGGTTCAAGTGCTGCTGCGTGGCTTTGGGCAGGTTGCTTAACCACTCTGGTCTCACTTTCCTCTCCTGTGGATTACTCTGGGAGTGAAGTGAGAAGGCGATGGTGAAGCCATTTCCCAAGTGCAAGCTTGTCAGCCCTTCGGTTCCGTTTTCTCCCCCGTGGCACGTCCCCAGGCAGGCTCCCCCTTCCGTCACTGGGCGTTGCCTTTTCCCGTCCCGCTCTGGTCAGCCTGGTTCCCGGCCCCGTTCTCAAATGACAGCTGTGAGCCCTGGGCCAGGCTTGTCTGGGGCTGGGGCTGCAGGCAGCAGGGGCCCTCCACGCCCTTCCGGCCTGACCAGCCCCTCCCGCCCCCCTCCAGATCCCCGCCGTACACGACTTCGGCCTCTTCATGTCGCTCATCGTGTCCTGCTGCTGGCTGGCTGTCCTCTTCACCATGCCCGCTGCCCTGGGCCTCTGGAGCCTTTACCTGGGCCCACTGGAGAGCTCCTGCTGGGCCAGGTGAGCCAGGCGGCTGCTGCTCAGGAAAGCGGGCAGCTTGCTCAGGGTCGCTCCCTTAATGTAGCAGAGATGGGATTTGACCCGGGCACACCTGGCACCCTTGGCTTCATCGCCGTGGAGATGAGACGCCCCTCTCCCCAGCAGCCTGCAGACACAGCGGGCCCTGTGAAGAGGGCGTGGCAGGGTGGATCAGACCTGCATGCCTGGGGCTGGGGGCATGAGGGAGGGTCTGCAGCTTGGGGGTCCACATCGACGTCCACCTGCCCACAGTGAGCCAGGTGGGCTGGAGGGAGATGAGGGCCTGCAAGGAGCTCAGACATGGGCCTGCGGCAGACTCCTTCAGGACCGCCACGTATGGTGGTACAGGTTGGGCACTGCCTGACGCCACCATGGCCTGCACCATTCAGCATGGTTATTTCTGTAACAGCCTCGTGACGCAAAAGCAGAGTGTCTTGGGAGAAGGGTACTTTTCACGCTCTCCACAGAGACCGCATCCCAGGCTCGCCTTTCCCGCAGCCCTGAATGCGGGGTCTGTTGGACCTCAGGAGGCCATGCAGCCTGTCTGTGCCCCGGTTCCCTTTGAGTTTCATCACATGGGTGTTATTCTTGTCCTCAGCCCCCAAGCAACTCCTCGGTCCCCTGTGTGCCTGACCCTCAGCCTCACTGTGTCCCCTCCTCTCTCTGTAGCTGCCACCAGAAGTGTGGCCGCAAGAGCTCTTTGCACTTCCCTGGGGACGTGTTTGCCACCCCCGAGCGGGCCGGGGACAGCCCTGCCCAGGGCCCCATACCCTACCTGGATGACGACATCCCCCTGCTGAACGTGGACGAGGAGCCAGGTGAGAGCTGGCGCTGCCTGCACTGCCCCTGCGCTGCCAGGGTGAGGACGGGCGGCCTATGGGACCCTCACCCTGCGCAGGGGCCTCCCGGGAGAGGGCCGGACCAGGCTGGCTTCGTCATGGCCTTGAGCAGCTGCTGTTCTGCCCCTGCAGTGTCACTGGAGCTGGGAGACGTGTCCCTGGTGTCTGTACCCACCTCGGGCCTGCAGCGGACCCCCAACACAGACAGCCGGGGCCAGCTCCTCGGGCAGCTGCAGGAACTGCTGCACCACTGGGTCCTGTGGTCAGCGGTCAAGAGCCGCTGGGTCATCGTGGGTGAGTACATGCCCCACCCAGCCCCTCTGAACACTTCCACCCCTCCTGCAGCCCCTGCCCCGCTTACAGCACCACCCCCGGGGAGAGAGGAGCAGCATCTGAGAGGCCTGGGCCAGGCCCTTACTCCGAGCCTCACCTGCCTGCGAAGCCTGAGCTGGCCCTGACTGCCGGCCATTGCTCAGTGAGCACCTGCTGTATACGAGCCCTCCCACTGGGCGGCAGAGCAGAGTGCTAGTGCTGGGCTCTGGAGACCAACTTGGCAGATTTGAACCCCCATCTGTCACGTGCTGTCTGTGACCTTGGCTAAGCCAGCCTGCTGCTGGGTTTCCTGTTCTGCAGCAGAGGATGCAATGCAGGGCTGGCGGTGTAGCTCAGAGGTGGAGTTCGCTTAGCCCGCGGGACACTTGGGTAGTGCTGTAGCCGCATCTGTGGAGGTTCTAGCTCAGCGCTCGACATGCAGACTGCTCAGTAAGAGTTAAGTGCCAGCGTCATCTCTGGTAGTGTGTCAGAGCTGCGTGTGATCAGGGCACAGCCTGGCCCCTCGTGAGCTGCTTTGTGCTCAAGACGCTGGCCGATCCCAGTCCAGGAAGCAGGGGGGAAGGGGTCCTGGTACAAAATACAGCCTCCAAGGACCCAGTCCCCACCCCAGGATAGCACCTGCAGCAGGGACCAAACCTTCTAACACATGTGCTTTGGGGCCACTTAGGATCCAAGCCACGCCATCAGCCTGTAGCTTTTAGTCAGACCCAGGTGTCCCCCTGAGTGACAGCCACCTGTCCCTAGCAAGCACTGCCTACCAGCTGTGCTCTTGGCCTTTGCCCACTCCTTGGCTCCCCTGCCCCCGGACTGAGCAGGCTGGGCCAGCGTGGGTCCTCCCTGGAACCCAGCGCAGCGTCCTTCCCCACAGGGCTCTTTGTGTCCACTCTCATCCTGTCCCTGGTGTTCGCCAGCCGGCTCCGCCCTGCCAGTCGGGCACCACTGCTCTTCCGGCCCGATACTAACATCCAGGTGCTGCTGGACCTCAAGTACAACCTGAGCGCCGAGGGCATCTCCTGCATCACCTGCTCAGGTGAGGGTCCAGCAGCCAGGGCTCCCGATTACTGTGTGACCTCAGGCCACTGTTTCCCCACATTCCTTTAAGCAAATACTCCCTGGGTTCCTGCCATACATGGGCTCTGGGGAAACGCAGGGGCAGAAGAGTCCAGCTTCCGGTACTAGGGACAGGCCATTGCAATAGTAGGTGTGGGCCCTGGTGGAAGATGACAAGGTGCCTTGGGACATGATATCAGAAGACTTCCTGGAGGAGGCAGCATCTGCACAGAGGCTGGAAGAACAGGAAGGAGTTATGAGGCTGGGGGAGGGGAGAAGAGTTGGCCAGATTGGGAGGAAAGGGCGGACCTGGACAGAGGATAGAGCATGCGCTGAGGAAGAGGAAGACCACATCTGAGCACGCACTGCCATAGCTAACAGTGGCTGGGTAGGCTAAGGTGAGAGCTCTGGACTCCATTCTAGTTGTTGCAGGCAGGTGAGCAAAGAAGGGCTGTGATTGGGTCCCCCAGGGTCTGTGTAGAGGTGGGCTGGAGAGGCAGGGTGGATGCTGGCCGGGGGCCCAAGGAGAGGGGGCATAGTGGGCCAGGGCCAGTGAGGACAGTGTGGTGGGGTCCAGAGGTTTTCAGGGTGATCTGCTTCCCATAGGGCGTGACGAGCGGGTGTCAGGATGAGGGGGGGAGGTACAGAAGGTCCTGGCCTCTGAGGAGTCTGGACCAGCTGTCACCTTGCAGAAGGGAGCCTGGTGTCACGGCGCTGTGCGCAAGGCTCCCTTGTGGGCGAGGAGCCACCGGCTGCCACGCTTGCATCGATTAGGGTGGTATTCCCATTACCCTGGCCTTCCCTCTGCTATGGCGTTAGCCGAGTGTGTGACAATCGAGTGCAGTTCAGAGAGGTGCCCGGGGCCTTCGGGATAGGAGGCAGCCAGGCCTGAGCCAGCCCCTGGACCCCCGCCTGGGCACAGAACCACACTGTCCTTGCTGCCCCCTCAGGTCACCTGCCCGCCCTCAGGCCTCGCTCCCAGGTCTCAGGGGCTGAGCCTGAGCAGCCCCAGAGCTCCAGGATAGCACCTGGTGGAGGCCTGGGCCTCGAGGCCCCCTGGGATGGTGGCCAGAGGCAGCCTAGGCCACGTGCCTCAGGCTTCACTTGGGACCTGGGCAGGTCACTCAGCACCTCTCCTGTTTCTTTGAGGGCGTGGACAATGATGATCTCCCAGATTGCTCTGAGGGCTGACACTTTAACATGCAAAGTGTCTCTCATTTAAAACACGAAAGCCAAGTCCAGGTGCCCACTTGTGCTGCTGGGGGCTAGGGGCTGAGCTCTTCTCCTGTACCTGACTCTGGGCTGAGTGTAGGAGGGGTGACTTCCTGTTTGGTTCTTCGCACCCTGTGTGGGAGGTGTGGCCTCATTCCTGCTGACAGGGGGAGGGACACAGAGGGACAGTGGGGTGCATGCCCCCAGGTCTCCCTCAGGGTAGGCCTGGCCCAGAGGAGAAAACCCACCCTCTCTGTCAGTTCAGCCAAGACCCTTTCAGTCCCCTGACACCCATCCCTCCAGCCCCGGCCTCTGCCTTTGGCCCCCGAGCCTGGCCAGGGAAGCCCGCTGTCCCTGATGCGGGGGGGACAGGTCTGTTCCAGGAGAAGCCTCACAGCCTGCAGAGCAACATCCGGACATCACTGGAGAAAAGGAAGCGCGGCTCTGGGGCTTCCTGGGCCAGCCGGCCAGAGGCCACCCCGCAGGGTGAGTGCCGGGTGCTGGGTACGGGGACCCACGGACAGGCGAGGGTATGAGATCCATCCTGATTCTCCTGCAAGCTTGAGCACCTGTGTTCCTGCACTGCTGGGGGCTGCACATATGGGGAATTTGGGGCTCCTGCCTGCCATCCCAGCAGCTCCCCCAGGCCTGGGCCCTGGGCTTCCCTCCCAAGGCTTAGCCTGGCCTGCCGCGCCCCAGGAACCTGCCCCGGTCACCAAAACCATCCCGAGTGTCTGGAGGAGCACCTGAGGGCTGGAGGCTGGCGGAGCCCTGCTGGGATCGCTGTCAGAAACAGCAGAGACGCAGGGAGATGCTGCAGGATTAAACAGTGTGGGTGGTCATGAGTCCCTGTCACCCTGCAGCTTTGTCACCACCACTGCTACACCTGCCTTGGTCACTCCCAACACCAAGCTCACCATTCACACTTGGGCCCCATCACTGCCGTGCCCTTTACCCATGTGGCCGCTGCCTCCTGTCCTCACTGACCTGGCCCACCAGAGGCCCAAAGCTCACCTGGAGGCCAGCCCAAGCCCAGGCCCCTGCTCCCCGGCCCACAGGCTGTCCCGGTGACTGTCCACTCCTCTCCATCCTCATTTGTCCCTAGACTCTGTGGGCACCGTGTACATCTCCAAGGTGAAGAGTAAAGGCCACCCAGCTGTCTACAGGCTGTCCCTCAATGCCAGCGTGCCTGCCCCGTGGCAGGCCATGTCCCCCGGGGATGGAGAGGTGCCCTCCTTCCAGGTGAGCCTGGGCTGTTGTGAAGTGATCTTCGGCCGCCACCAGGGAGGGGACCTCGGTGCCACACGGTGGGCACGGGCCACATTGGGAGAGGGAAGCAGCAATGTCAGCCTTTTTGGCACCGGTTTAGTAGAAGGCAGTTTTTCCACGGACCGGGCAGTGGGAGGATGTTTTCTGGATGGTTCAAGCACGTTACATGGATTATGCACTTTGTTTCTATTGTGATTCCATTAGATTCTCATGAGGAAGGCATGACCACACCCCTCACAGGGCAGGTCGCTGCAGGGTCTGCAGTCCGATGAGAATCTAATGCTCTGCTGATCTGAGAGGAGGCAGGGCTCAGGCAATAGTGCCAGCCACTCACCTCTTGCTGGGACCCCCACCGACCCGTGGCTGAGGGTTGGGGACCCCTGCCCTTGAGGATGGGGCTACTAGCAGATGAGGACTCCCACACATCAGCCAGGCCCGTGACAGCCACCAGCAGAGTGGTAGCCACCAGAGGTTCCAGATCAGCCTGGCCTGGGTTCGAGTCCTGGCTCTGCCTTGCATAACTTCTGTGTCTTTGGGCAGATTACCTCATCTCTCTGAGCCTCGGTTTCCACATCTGGGAAATGGGGATATAAACAGCACCAGGTGGCCTCGTTGGAGGTATGAACCAAGGCCCGTGCGCTGCAAGCGGGGACACAGCAGATGCCCAGGGATTGATAGCTGTTAGCTCATCTTCCTGCTCTCAGCAGCAGCTGCAGCATCCTGAGGAGTCTCCCGGGCCAGTCCAGACTCCTTTTTCCCTTCACAGGGGTCCTGTATCCCTTGAACATGTCATGCCCCCAGGTGACTGCCACACATATCCCTCACTGGTTCAAGGTCTGCGTTTCCCTTGCTGTTCCCAGCTGGCCTTCACTGTGCCGATCTCGGTCCGAGTCTCCTACAGCTCTGTGTGCAGCTGTCTCCTGAGCCCTCTCCCGGGCAATGGCACAGATGTCACCTCTTCCTCTTCCTGTCGGGCCTGGCCTGCCTCCTCAGTGGCTTCCTCTTCCCTGGCATTCACCTTCCGATCACCCTCACTGTCTAAACCCAGCCCTGGCCAGAACCAGGTCGGGTCTCTGCCCATCCTACATGCCAGCTCCGTGAGGTCAGGGACCTGCCCGTTCCAGTCACCACTGTGCCCTCAGAGCCTGGCACTGAGTTGATACCCAGTGAGCATTTGGTGGAGGAAGAAATGAGGCTCAGAGGGAGAAAGGATTTGCCCAGTTCTCAGGCTCAAACCCAGGCCTCCGGAGCCTCTGTCCAGAGCACTGTTTCCACTCCGGGCTGGGGCAGGGTGGAACCTGCAAGAGGGAGGGGGCGGACCCTGAGGCTGGCCGGGCCAGGCCAGGCCAGGCAGCCTCCCAGAGTCACGTGTCTTGTCTCTGTCGATCCACTGCTTAGGTGTATAGAGCGCCTTTTGGTGACTTCACCAAGAAGCTGACCGCTTGTATGTCTACAGTAGGGCTGCTCCAGGCCGCGAGCCCCTCCCGCAAGTGGATGGTGACGACCTTGGCCTGTGACGCCAAGCGGGGCTGGAAGTTTGACTTCAGCTTTTACGTGGCCGCCAAGGAGCAGCAGCACACCCGGTAACAGCCTTGCAGATGCTGAAGATGAGCTCTCTCTCTCTCTCTCTCTCTCTGTTTCACATGAGACATGCCACCAGGCACCTTCAGGAAACTTCTGTCCATTTCCCGTACCTGTTCAGACTTCTCTGTGCCCTGTGCTGGGGATGGGGACACTGGCAAAGACAGCAGACCCGTAATCTGTCCACCCACTCCACTGCTGTCCCCACCAGCTCCACAGGGGTTGCGGTGGCCATGTCACTACTCTATAGTCAGGGTTCCACCCCAGGGCCTTTGCATTTGCTGTCCCTCTGTACAGAAAGCTCTCCTGCCTCCCATGTGGTTGACCTCTCGAGATTCAGGTGTCATCTCCTGAGAGAGGTTGTCCCTGAGTGGACCTCCCCCATTGAGAGTCACCTGCCCGGGCTCCATGCATCATCCGCTGTTCTTGCTGGCCCTGTCCCAGCTGTGATTTGTCTGTCCCCAGGAGCAGTCCCCATCCTGCAGGGCACATTGGCAGGTTCACCCCTGCTGTGTCCCCAGCACCTGGCACAGTGTCTGTCTGACACGCAGCGGTTGCCCAGTAAATACTTGCCAATTAGGGATGTGAATTCTCCCAGCACTTCCTCCTAGCACTGACCCACACTCCACAGGTGTGGTATTCCTGTGGGAAATGACACTCCCTGCCCCCACCCCTGGCTGTAGCAGATTGAGCCACCTGCTCTGTACTCAGTCCCTGCTGGGGCCTGTGCCCGACAGCCAAAGGACCAGAGGCTGCGTTCTCTGCCTCTGGGGCCTCCAGAGCCCTGGGTCATCCCATCTCAGATTCTGTTCCCCAGGCACTGAATGAGGCCCTGAGTTTGCAGATGCAGGGTCTTTTTCACTGGCCCTGTGTGGGGCTGGGGAACGGGGATGAGCCAGTCACAGTACCGTGTGTGCTGGAGGAGGAACACCCCCACTCCATGCGGTGACACAGTGGGGAACAAGGTTTCTGATGGGACCAACTTCAAGCCATCAAGGTCCCACACAAGGCTGGACACACGGGGCAGAGAGTGCAGCTGCAGTCAGGGTGGCTGAGGCAACTCGCACTGCGTCCCTCCAGCCCTCCGCCTGTCGCGTCTCGAGCCCAAGGCTGGGCTGGCTCTGCACACACGCAGTGGCCAGGGGCGGGGGCTGCTGGGTGAGCATGATGCGTTCCAGAAAGAGCTCTGAGTTCCATCTGGTCCAGTGGTCAGCAGGGTGCTTGCCATGGAGCCACCCCTGCTTCAGACAGCTCCTAATTGAGGTGGGGCCGGGGTCAGCACCCTTGCGCCCCCTGGAGGACAATCTGAGCACACTGCTTCCCTCTTCCCTTGTCAGGAGTGGGACTGGATGGGTCTGCAGACCCCTGGCTGTGCTTGCAGCCCCAGCCTGGGCCTCCCTTGCCTCCACAGGAAGCTGTACTTTGCCCAGTCCCACAAGCCCCCCTTCCATGGGCGTGTGTGCACGGCGCCCCCCGGCTGTCTGCTCAGCTCCAGCCCCGATGGGCCTACCAAAGGCTCCTTCTACGTGCCCAGCGAGAAAGGTACTCATGGGCTGCTGCCGTGGGGCTGGGGACCTGGGACCTGAGGCTGGCCTCCTTACAGCCCTGGTGCCCTCTGCAGTGCCCAAGGCCCACCTCTCCGCCACGTTTGGCTTCAACCCCTGCGTGAACACAGGCTGCGGGAAGCCGGCAGTGCGGCCCCTGGTGGACACGGGGGCCATGGTCTTCGTGGTCTTTGGCATCACTGGCATCAACCGCACCCGACAGGTGGACAATCACGTCATCGGAGACCCGGTATGCAGGCCACCAGCCCAGCCCCTCCCAGCCCACTGGCTCCTTGGTGGCTCCTCCAGCCCAGACAGGATGCTGGGAGCCCCACTCCTCCAGACAGCTGAGCAGGGCTGACTTAGAGGCACTAGGGAATCAGGGCACATGTGGAGCCCCCAAGGGACTGGGTCACAGATGAGGCACATGCAAGAAGATTCCTGCCTTGTCCTGTGCCTGGAGAGGGGGCAGCCTGGCCCGGCCCTGCCTCTTGGCCTCAGTGACGCTTCGTACTCCACAATGTCCCCATCCCTCCGCTCCCGCTCCAGTACTGAGCTGTGTGCAGAAGCTCTGGAAAGCATGGGTTAAGCCAGGACGGGTGACAAATGTTGAGGTTTTGTGGTCAGAGCGCCTGGTGGACATAGCAGCCACAGTGGACCCAGGGCACAGGAGAGGGTCATCTGTTCAGTCCAGCTGGAGTCTGCCCATTTTCAGACCCAGGGGTGGGTGGTGGGGATGCAGCCCAGGACCAAGTCCCCGTCTCACTGAGGGGCCCGGGCCATCTGTGTCTCCTTGGGAAAGGGCAGTGTCATCTATGATAGCAGCTTTGACCTCTTCAAAGAAATCGGACACCTGTGTCGACTCTGCAAGGCCATCGCAGGCAACTCGGAGCTGGTGAAGCCGGGTGGGGCCCAGTGCCTGCCCTCAGGTGTGTAAGTGGGATCCGGGTACCCAGAGGCAGGGCTCGAGGTCAGGCATGATGGGGGCAGGGCTGAGGGCCTCACAGGTACCCTGGCTGAGGTCACACCTGGGCTGTCCCTGAGAGGGCCCCAAACGTCACTGTCTACCCAATGGAAGGTTTGCCAGTAGTTACAGGTACTTTGACACCCGGGTGGCAGTTGGGAGGGGTGGGATGGGCTGCCCCACCCCCTGCTTACCAGCACCCCTGCCTGCATCCCCTAAAGGCTATAGCATCTCCACATTCCTGCGGATGCTGCATCCCGAGTGCAAGGAGCTGCCTGAGCCCAACCTGCTGCCGGGACAGCTGTCCCACGGGGCGGTGGGCGTCAAGGAGGGCCGCGTGCAGTGGATCTCCATGGCCTTTGAGTCGGTGAGCCCGAGCGCCCCGCTGGGCACCACACACAGTGCTTGTCTTGAGCCGGTGTCGCCTCAGACCCAGAGGAGTGCTGAGAACTTTGCCTGAGGCCATATGGTTAGCAAGTGTCAGCATCAAGTGGCAGGCTACCCGACTGCAGAGCTCCACCCCCCAACCCCTGGGCCTGCACTGACCGACCGGGTTTATGTCAAGCTGCAGGCTGCTGGGAGCCTGGGACAGTGCCCTGCACCACTGTGCAGTCAAGGTCAAGGCCACAGATGTGATGGCCTCGCCCAGGTGACCAGGGGAGGAGAGCTTGAGGTTAGACCAGCCAGCTACATGTCTCCCCACCTCCTCTGTCACCACTGGACCCTGGGGCTCTGCCCATGGAGGTGCACGCACACACGCACACACACATGCACACCTCCAATATGGGCCTTGCACTTTGCTCTCTGAGGCTCAGCAAGGCTGTCCCTGCTGGCCCTATGCAAGGACCCCAGCCCAGTCCTCCCCGAGCCTGGGGTGCTCAGTATCTTTGAATAAGTCACCTGTTCCCCAGATCCCCAAGTTCCTCATCTGCAGAAAGGGGCTAAAGCCCTCTCCCTACAACCACAGGAAATAACAGGGAAAGCTCTAAGAAAAATAGTGACCAGGTGACAAGTGGCAGGTGATGCCCCCTCTCCAGCCCTTGACCCTTCTGCCTTCCTGACTATGGGAAACCTCCAGCCACTGGGCAGAAGGGCCTCGAGACCCTCACACCCCTCTCAAGCCCCCAGGCTAATGCGGAGCCCAGGACAGCGCCCCGGACAGGCTTTTCTGTATAGTTGTTTGTTCATTCACTGTGGTAAAACATGCATTATAAAACCTACCAACTTAACAGATTTCTAACACACAGTTCAGTGGCATAAAGAACTCCTGTCCAGAGCTTCTCATCTTCCCCAGCTGAAACTCTGTCCCATTAAACACCGACTCCCCACCCGTCCTCCCAGCCCCAGCACCCACCCCGTTTCACACTCTCTGTGTTTACTCTTAAATAATTCGTGTGAGTGTAACCATGCAGATTTGTCCTTTTCTTCAGTGTCAAGTTCCCAAGGCTGGCTCACCCCGGGTAGCTCAGTTGGGACTTCTTCCTGTTTCAGGCTGAAACCCCAGACAGTTTGAGAGTGGAAGTCTCTCTGGTCAGGGCGTCCAGGACAGGGCACCCACTTCCAAGCTGACCCCGGCAATGCTCACACACACACAGACACGGACACACTGCTCACACATTGGAGGCTGGCTCATGTTTAGCAAGGGCAGAGCTTTATACTGCTGTGCAGGTGGCGAGCCCAGGGGCTTCTGGGAGCTCCAGTGGCTCAGTTGGGAAAAGCCAGGAGCCACACGTGTGTGCTGTGTCCAGAGGCCGAAGCAGCTCTCTGGGGCTGGATCGTTGCTCACCCCCATGATCCACAGGCTCCGTAGGGGCCACAGCATGGGGAGGGTGAGCAGGCCACAGCCCACCATCTCACCAGCCCTGTCCCTGCAGACCACGTACAAGGGCAAGTCCTCCTTCCAGACCTACTCGGACTACCTGCGCTGGGAAAGCTTCCTCCGGCAGCAGCTGCAGGCCTTCCCTGAGGGCTCGGCCCTGCGCCACGGCTTCCAGACCTGCGAGCACTGGAAACAGATCTTCATGGAGATCATAGGTGAGCACAGGGAGTGGGCACAGGGCAGGCAGGGGTGGCCTCCCTAGTCCTAACTGAGAGCCCTGGAGAAACGTTGTACAGCAGCCGGCCGCTGGTCAGAGGTCAGGGCTGGATCCTCCCTGCTTGGAGGCTTCTGGCCACATTGTCTGGTCTTGAATTCGGTCACCTAAGAGGTAACATTCGTGCCCACGGGCAGCTGTCATCACAAGCCCTTTTGAGGTGCCAGGCCCTGTCTTAGCTCTTGAACCTCAAATAAGCCCCTCCCTGGGAGGGGGCTGGTCCTGTCAGCAAAGAAAGGTCACGTGGCCCAGAGCAGCACAGCCAGCTGTCACCGCCCATCGGTGACCCTGCAACCCCTAGACCACGGACTTGGGGTCCACAGGCTCCTCGCCCCGCAGTCCCTCAGTCCCCTTTCTTCCCTCCCAGGGGTGCAGAGTGCCCTATATGGCCTGGTCCTCTCCTTGCTCATCTGTGTGGCCTCGGTGGCCGTGTTCACCACCCACATCCTGCTCCTGCTGCCTGTGCTCCTGAGCATCCTGGGTAGGTGGGCGAGGGGGTGACTGGCTGGGCAGGGGCAGGTGTCCAGCTACAGCAGTGTGCAGCTCAGGACCGAAGTTGTCCCCTCCCACCAGTGGAGCTCTTGCTTCCCTGCTACCCGATGGGGAGGCTTAGCTGTAGGCACCCCACTCACTCCCCAGGGGTGCCCCGGGGCCTTGCAGGAGGGCCGGTCCCAGCTGCTGCCCCGCCCCGCCCTGCAGGCATCGTCTGCCTGGTGGTGAGCATCATGTACTGGAGTGGGTGGGAAATAGGCGCCGTGGAAGCCATCTCCCTGTCCATCCTGGTCGGCTCCTCTGTGGATTACTGCGTGCACCTGGTGGAGGGCTACCTGCTGGCTGGAGAGAATCTGCCCCCGCAGCAGGCCGAGGTGAGTGCCCTCTGCCTCCCCCAGGGCGCCACCATATCCTAGGCAGGCTGTGTCCTAGGACTGCGGCCCCGGGACTCACATGATGCCAGCGCAGCCAGAGGGGACTGCGGGGCCCACGGCAGATCTGTGTCCCTGGCCTCAGTCTCCCCAGAGTGCAGTGAGGGAATGGGCCAGACACACCGTGAATGCCGGCCCTTGCTGCCATTCCAGCTGGACCCTGAGGCCACAAACCCCCTTCCGGCTCTCTGGGGCTCATGTACTCAGAGCGAAAACCAGCTACGGGCCTGGTGAAGTTGTTTGTGGGTTTGCTTTTTTCCTACTTTGGGATTGAATTGGTATCAAAACATTCATAAACGTGTAAAAATTAAGTCAGTTATACATTTCATTGCTTTTGCCCCAAAAAACAAAATAGAGCCAAGTGTGGTGTTCCATGCCTATGATCCCAGCTACCAGGTGGCTGAGGCAGGAGGATCACAAATTCAAGGCCAGCCTGCACAACTTAGACCCTGTCTCAAGATATAAAAAGGGCTGGAGGTGTGGCTTGGTGGCAGAATGTTTGCCTAGCATAGCTGAGGCCCAGGTTTCCAGCCCCAGTACCACCCAACAACGTTCCCGTCAGGACCCCCATTTCGGCAGATGCCCCAGCAGCCGGCAGCGCTCGGCACACCTGCACCCTGTGAAGTCGCCCTGCCCTCGTCCACTTGCAGGGCCGGAATCAGGGCCCGGCGCGGGGCTGGCCTTGGGCAGGGCTGTGTGCTGGGCTCGAGGCTCCCCGACGGGCTGGGCCTCAGCTCTCACTCCCTGCCGCCCCAGGACCCCGGCGCACAACGCCAGTGGCGGACCCTGGAGGCCGTGCGGCACGTGGGCGTGGCCATCGTGTCCAGCGCCCTCACCACCGTCATCGCCACGGTGCCCCTCTTCTTCTGCGTCATCGCCCCTTTTGCCAAGTTCGGGAAGATCGTGGCGCTCAACACGGCTGTGTCCATCCTCTACACGCTCACCGTCAGCACCGCCCTGCTGGGCGTCATGGCGCCCGGCTCCTTCACCCGGACCAGGACTTCCTTCCTCAAGGCCCTGGGCGCCGTGCTGCTGGCGGGGGCCCTGGGGCTGGGCGCCTGCCTCGTGCTCCTGCGCAGCGGCTATAAGATCCCCCTGCCCAGCGGGGCAGCCCTATAGCCGGGCCGGATCCTGACTCGTGTACCTCGGCATGGAGGCTGGGGCTGGGCCCGGCCTGGAGGCCCTTGCTGCCCTGCCCAGCTCCGGCTACACCCATTCCCAGCCTGGCCACACTGGAGCCCACACTGTGGTCTTCGCAGCCAGAGCCCGAGCTGGGGCTGAAGCCAGCTGTCACTACGCCCACCTGGGGCCACAGACAGCCTCTCTGGGCTCTGTCCACAGTGCCAGGGAGCAGCCCTCTCCCGTGCCGGGTCACCGTGGGGGCAGCTGACTGCCTCAGGGGCCTCCCCTCACTTGCTCAGTGCTCACAGCCTTCTGGGGCTTTCCAGTGCCCCGTGCTACAGATGTGGAAACTGAGGCACCAGGGGGCAGAGTGACTGTCCTGGGGCTGGGTCAGCCCAGAGCCAGCGCTGTCCCCAAGCCTGGGCCTCCCAGGGGCCTCTGCAGGAAGAGCACAGCAGGTTCAGGGACGGGGACCTCACCTCCTGCTCCTCGTCCCCTCCCGTCTTCTTTGTGTGGGCTACAGCTGGGTGACACCTATGTCCTCCCCAGGCCTTTTGTTGCAGACCAGTGAGGACAGAGGGACTGGCCTGGGGTTGTGCATGTCCCAACTCCAGCCTGGGGCTTCCTCTGAGGCCCTCCTGGGGTGCAGGCTTCCGCATGACCTTCCCCACAGGTCCAAGCCCGTCTCCCCCACGCAGCTCTGAGGGTGGATGTTGGGGGGCAGCCCTTGCGGGGAGAGCTGGCCGTGCCTGCCGCCTGCTCACGGCAGATGGTTCCTGTTAAAGTGCAATGAGACTGCAGACCGCTGCCACTAACGTGAGCCTTTGAAGCATCTCCGGCTACATCCCATTCTTCATGTTGAAAGAGCTCAGTGCTCTCTGCAGCCCGGCCAGAGCCTGGTACAGAGCTGGCCTGTCCTTGGATGGGCATGGAGGGAAGGTGTCCAGCTCTTCTGGGAACGAGGTCCGGGGTGCCCTGGGGACCTCTGCCATGGGAGGTGGGCGCCAGCTGCTCCTGTCTTCGAGGGCCCATCTGGTTCCACGGGTGGGTGTTTGTGAGCCTTCTGAATGCCTGGCTCTGCCTTTCCCGGGCATACACGCTGCTCTCTGAACTTGGTGAAGCTGGGCACGCTGAGCTGGGTGTAATCTCAGAGTGAGGAGGAAACCTAGAGTGACCTCCAGCACAGGTGTGCACCACTGTGCCCTTCTTGTGCCAGCTGGTGTGGAGCCGTGCTTGGTGTTTGTTGAAAGAATATCAGATCTGTGGTGAGGAGATTGAGCCATTAGTGGTACCAGCTGGCACCCCGCACTGCACTGGGCACTCTTCTCAGGGTTGGCGTTTGGTTCTGTGGCTGCTGGAACAACACCAGCTGTTGGCTTGCACAGCGGAACTGAGTCTCTCTTCCCAGTTCCGGAGGCTGCACATCCAAAATCAAGGTGTTGACAGGGCTGGTTCCTTCTGGAGGTTCTGGGCCTCCCTAGCTTCTGCTGGCACCATCAGCTTTCCGATCCATCACTCCAGTCTCCGCCTTCATCTTCAGTCTTCATGTCCGTCTTTTCTAACTGTTTCTCTTCACAGCTTCTTCCTTGATTAAGAGGGATATCAATCACACTGGGTCGGGCCCCACCCCAATGCTTTCATCTTAACCTGATCAGCAGCAAAGACCCTGTTTCTAAACACGCTCCTGTTCAGGGGTGCCGGGATCAGGACTTCATTGTTTTGGGGGGACACACCATTGTGTAGCAGGCTCAACACGTTCAGGCTCATGGGCTCGACTTAAGGAATAGCTGCTGTCGTACCCATTCCACTCGTGGGGAAGTCAAGGCCCCAAGGGGCTGACTTGCCTGGACCGTGCAGCAAGGGACTGGTGAGCCGAGCTCGATCCCCAAGGTGTACACAGCTTCTCACTACAGTTGTCACAAAGGCCGATGCTGGGCCAGGGATTTAGCTTAGTGGTTCCGCCACCTGCCTTGCAAGCGCAAGGACCCAAGTTTGATTCCCGGTACCAAAAATAAATAAATAAGGCTGATGATTACAGGGACATCTGAGGCTGGCGGGCCGATTGAGAGGCCCGTTCTTAAAATACGCGAGGAAACCCCTTGTGTTTGCAAAAGACTTTGCACGGTTGTTTTCCTGCTTTTCTCAGATCGCCATGGCAGAGGGGAAGGGTCCTGCCCAGGAGCATGCGCGGCACTGACCCTTGTGTGGGGGCTACATCTGCAGGGCCGGCCCTCTCCCAAATGCCCGCCATCCCTGAAGAGCATGGACCTTATGGGGAGAGGCCTGGACACCTGGAAAGAGCTCGAAGAAAGGGCTGTCATCTCAAGTCCTTGTCCTGAGACCCTCCCCATAACCCATCTCTAAGGTGGAGGTGGGTCATTTGCACATCGTTTGCATGCAGCCCACATGAAGCCGCTTCATAAAGAGCCCTCTCCTGCCCCATTTACTTTGAAGGGACAGCTCTTCCTCCCGCCCCTTGGCTTCTACCTTGTCAGTACCATGGCGCAGGGTAGACAGTCAAGGGTGGAGGAGGCCACACCATGTTCCAGTGCCGCCTCTTCCAAGGTTGCTAGGGCTCGCTGGCATCTGTGCAGCTGCTGTGACCCTCAGGACCCCTGAAAGTTGGGTTCCCATGTTACCCTTGAGGCCCTGAGTGCTGACTGATCTGTCCCACCCCCAGCTGGCAGTTGTCCTCCTCCCAGAGCAGGGTGGGACAAGCCTGGGGGAAAGACCTGGGTGACGATTTGGGTGCTCCAGGGGACTCTGGCCACACAGCTGGCTGCCTCCTCACCTACAAATAGGTCGTCCATCATCTTGTCTGTGACTGCTGATGCCACAGGGTCCCAAAGGCACTGACTCCCATGCAAAGAACCTTGACCTTCAATTGCTGCCGATCTGTGGCTGAGGTCTTAATGAGCTTTACCAAGCTTAATGAGATGTTCTTCGCTTGCTTGGGCACAGCAGCCAGCTGGGGTCTGCGAGGATGTGCAGGCATCCTGTGTGCCAAGGTGGCATGCAGGGAGGAGAGGCCAAGAGCACAAGGAAAGACAAGGGAGCGCACCTCCTCCCTGCCGCCCGGGACCAGGAGATGTCCGTGAGAGCCAGTTTTTCTGGTGCCTATCTTGCCGGGCCACGTCTGTCCTTCTTGGGAACCCTCAGCCTGCCTCAAGATAAGTGCCCTGTGCTGCTGCTGCTAAGGCTGAGGCCACAGAGCTGAGCCGTGTCCCCATCTCCTTTCCTGGCTGTTGTGAGCCTTGAAAAAGGACAGGGCTGTCCCACCCTTGCCCAGGGAACCAGGAGTTTACCCTGAGGGGATTGGAGATGTGATGAAAGGATTTTAAAAGCAGAAGGACATTTCCTACCTAACTGATCTGCAAAGAAGCTAAGTTTACTGGCCAGGGGTGGGAAAACAGCTTCTCCTAGGCACTGCCCGAGGGACTGTAAACTGGTTCAGCTGTGGAATGGAATTCAGCAGTAACTATCAAAACTATAATCACACAGCCCTTTTGATTCAGCAGTCCTGCTTGAGGATTTATCCTGCAGATAAACTTACCCTGGCCACGTGCAGAAGTTCCTGAAAATGTGTGGTATAGCAAGGAACTGTAGCCCCCAAATGTCCCTCAGCACAGGGATGCATAAAGGAAGTGACAGCCCCGCTCAGGCAGTGAGATCCTCTGCAGCTGGAAAGGATGATGAGGGAATTTTCCAAGCCAAGATGGAAAAATTGCCAAGGTGCGTTAAGTGGGGGAGAAGAGCTCGCAAGGCCATGTAAAATACACTAGATTATGTGTTTAGGAAAAAAAAATGTGCAGGTGAAAGAATCTATATTCGTTTTTGCTTATATATGCAAAACCTGATTCTGAAGAAAATCCAAGAAAAATGAGAAGAGTGGTTACCTGTGTGTGTCTGCAGGAGGGGGCAGAGTGCAGCAGAGGAAGGCTTTTGTCCTGAAGCTTCCCAGGCCTCGGGTTTTGACTGCAGGGTTGCATTGTCTAGAGCAGCAATGGCGAACCTCTTAGAGCTTTCAATGATACAAACAGCCCGCTGTGCCACACTTGCTCTAGGTTCGCCACCACTGCTCTGGATGCTTTTGAAAGCAGGGGAGAGAGGTGGCTGCCATTTGCTCCTTCCAAAGCTCACCCTGGCTGCAGGGCAGAGGGAGGAGGGAGGCAGGGGGCGCAGCCTCCCCTAGGGGAGAGCATCAGCAGCTGTCAGTCCTGAGAGCTCCCCACCAAAGCTTCTGGGACCAGCACTTCTCTGAATACCTTTTCTGAGCAGAAACCCTTAGATCAAGGGCCCTTAAATCAAGAGAGTGGCATTGCCCAGTGCCGCAGTCTGGCACTGGGGTGCTTAGAACAGGGAGCCTGGAAACAGGAGGCTGGAGCTGGCTCTGCGACCACCCTGCTGCGATGTGACACCCGCTGCATGCTTGGGCAAGTCATGGATCGATCTTTACCTGTTTGCTCATCCATTAAATAGAATAATGCCGACCATGCATGGTGATTGCATTTTAATAAGATAGTGTTTGTCCAGGCCTTGGCCACAGCGATCCCTGCTATGCCATCATCGCTATCTTCATCACTGTTACCAAACAGGCTTCTCCCAACTCAGGACAGTGTGTGTGTACTTGCAGTTGCAAAGCTCTTCAATAAACAGAAACCGATCCCTGCCCTGTTGTTCTTCTCTGACTAAGGGCGGAATAGGTTTTCTTGTCCGATTGATGGTGGATCTGGCCAGGGGGACTTTGTTGCCCACTGGGATTTGGCAAGTGTAAAGCAAGCGAAGGCTTGAAATGTGCCACCTTGAAAGTGGCCCTGTTTCTGCCCCTCCAGGGGAAGGATATGTCCCCAAGAACCACCTGCTTTCAGGAGGCCAAGGGACCCATGGACCTGCCGGCACCCCTGGAATCAAGCCCAGCTCATCCTACTGTAGATCAGCCAACTCCCAGCTGACAGGGAATGATTGAAGCCACTGGACTTGTGCGTGCTTGTTATGCAGCACTGTTAGAGCAGTAGCTGACTGCACCACTGCCCACTACCTCCAGAATTTAAGGCGAAGCTTCACACTGCCTTCAAAGGCCGGCAGGGTCTCACTGTGCCTGTTTTCATCTCATGCCACAGCCTCCCCTTTGCACCTCAGGCCTCTCCTGAGCCAAATTCTCAGTGGCTTTGTGTGGCTGCTCCCTCTCCCTCACGTGATCCTGTTCCTACTGCACTGGGTAGCGCCCCCCTCATCCTTCGGGGCTCAGCTTCCTCCAGGAAGCCTTCGTGAGAGCCCCAGGTCTGCCCACCTGTGAAATGGGAATGATCTCATCAGAACTGGGGAGAAGGGTGCCCTGGCTGCAGGGGGACATGTCATTATGGAGCCTTCGATCCTCTGCACCTTCTGCCCTCCCCGTCCTGGCTTCCCACTGCCTTCCCTGCCCCTGTGAGTGCTTGGCAGAACCTGACACCTGTCCTGTCCCTGACCCGGGTTGCCATGGAGCTATGCAACCTTGCACATGCCACTTAATCTCACTCAGCCTGTTTATCCATTGCTTCTTCAGCCTGAAAAACCACTTCAAATTCTAGTGGCTTAAAACAACCTTGTGTTCATCTTACAGTTCTCTTAGATCCCAAATTAAGCTGGGCTCATCTGAGTGGTTTTTCTGACCCAGCTTTCGGTTAGCTGGTGGCTGTGCTTTGGAAGCCTTGGCTGACAGTCAGGCCAAGGAGCAGAGGTCAGAGGGCCATGTATCATTTGCCTTGCAGTGGGCTAGCTCTGGCTTGCTCATGGTGTCAGGGTTCCTGGAGAATGTGTGCCTGTGCACATGGCCCCTGTTATGGGCTGAATTGTGTCCCCCAAAAAGGCTATGTTGAAGTCCTAACTTTTGGTGTCTCTGAATGTGACCTTATTGAGAAATATGATCTTTACAGACATGATCTAGTTAAGATGAGATCATTAGAGTGAGTCCTAATCCAATATGACTGATGTTATGAGCTGAATTGCCCCTCAGCATGTTAGTTACTTTCTTGTCATTGGGGAAAAATACAGTACCTGACTCTCACAACTTCAAGGAGGAAATGTTTACTTGGCTCATGGTTACAGTGGGTTCGGTCCATGGTTGGCTGGCTTCAGGGAAGAAACAGCATAACAGAAGGGGCTGGTGAATGAAAGCTGCTCAACAAGTAGCCAGGAAGGAGAGAGAGAAGGGAGGAGCCAAGGACAAGGACACACCCTTTCAGGTCACACCTCCAGTGATCCATCTCTTTTGACCAGACCTCACCTCCTAACAGCACATTCAGTTATTAATTCATCAATGGATGAATCCACCAATGAGTATAACATCCCCATGATGCAATCCTTCAAAAGCTCCACCTCTGAGCATATGAGACTTTGAGGGAGGGCATTTTGGATATAAACCAGAACACACTACCATCTCGAAATTCCTACGTTGAAGGGCTAACTCCCAGTACCTCAGATTGTGACTGCTTTTGGCAAGAGATGAAGTTAGAATGAGGGCATTTGGGTGGCCCTACTCCAGTCTGACCATTGTCCTTCCAAGAAGACATTAGGACCCAAAGAGACACCAAGGGCACAGAGGGACCATATGAGAATACAGGGAGAACACAGCCATGTGCCAACCCAGGAGAGAAACCAGTCCTGCCACCACCTCGATCTTGGACTTCTATCTCCAGAACTGTGGGAAAATAAATTTCAATCACCAATTATGGTGCTTTGTGATGGCAGCTCAAGGGAACCAAGACCCAAGGCCGGGCATCAGAACTGGCACACATCACTTCGGCTGCTTTCTGGTGTCGCTGTGGGCCCCAGGTCAGCCCAGGTTCCAGTGGGGAACAGTTCCTACCTCCTAACAGGAGGGACCCCACGATCATGTTGCAAAGGGCTGGGGAGAGGATTATTATGACCACTTTTTTCAAACAATCAGCCAGTCTCAGAACTTCATCTGTTGAATGGGGCTGATGATAACCCTAATTCAGTATTCCAGCGAGGATTTGGCAAGCCCTGGGCACAGAGCAGGGCACAAAGGGCTCCATAAAAGCAAGTGATAACCTGTCCTGGTGGCTGTTGTTGAGGGCAGTTTCCTTATTCTAGTCTCTAGTCCCGTGCCTGGGACAGTTCCAGCTGGTTGGGTACAGAGATCCCTACCTGCTCCCAAGAGCCAGCCCAATGCCCCGCACACCTGAAGGCGAAGGGAGAAAGCTGTCACTTCAGCCAATACCCGGGCTCTTTGGACACCCGCTGTGGGGGACATAGAAGACCTTGGCCACTAGGCGCTCGCTCACCCTGGAGGCTGCTTCGCTGCCAGTGCTCCCGTCCTCCAGTCCAGACAGAGACAGTGACCCACCGAGGAGAGGCCATAGCGACCTCCCGCACCGAGCCAGGCAGAGGCAGCTCAGAAGGAGGTCAGCTCTTCCGGGGTCCCCTGCTCTGCCCCATCCTCCTCCTCAAACTGTCCCCAAGGCAGGGGTGGGTCACGTGTGTGCAAGCTCTTCCCACCGTGCCTCTTCTGCCCTCATTGCCTCAGATTCTGAAGTCTGCAAGCTCAGACCACAGGAGGCAGATCGAGCTTCCTTTCATGAGAGCAAGGGTGACAGGGAGAGGAAGGACACCCACCCTCACATCGGCCAACCCAGAAGTGCAATTTGTAAAATGAAAATCTGGTGTGACATTCCACTAAATTAACAATTTATAGATAATTCTCAATGCTCATACCATTAAGCAAATGTGCTTTAAATTGATTTCAAATTAGTGAGGTAATGATTTCCCCCAGGACCTGTCTCGGCCGGCCCCCCCAGTGCACTGTTTCTGTAAGCGGTAGGTGTGCGATAACAGCCTCTTTATTCCATAATGGAAGCCATAATTGAACTCGAGGTCATATCCAAGGGCCCTATTGATCTGCATAGAGAGAGAAAGTGCTGACAGTAGCCATCCTCAAGCCAGAGGGGTGTGGTGGGCCTGGGAGACTGGAGACCATTTCCCGCATGACCTGCAGCTGGCCTTGGTGGCTGGCAGGGGAACTGAACCACCTTGATCAGGCAGAGCTCCCAACCCCCTGCTGTCTGTGACCCTCTAATATCCCCGGATTCCCGGGTGCACACTGCCCCCTTTCATGCCCCACCATGCCTGTCTGGCCTCCACTGTCCAGGCCAAAGGAATGCAGGCCAGGGCGCCCCCCTAGTGTAATCTGTGCCCCCTCCTTATCCTGTGCTCTAGTCCTTTATCTCTGAGCCCAGCCAAGAGGTCCCTCGACCCCAACTCAGAGAGGCAGAGTAGAAGATCAGGGATTCTACTGGGTCAGACACAGCCCAATCACACTTACCTCACAGCACAGAGCAGCACCACCTCTCCTGCTACCTCTAATGGGGCCAGAGAAACCTTGAGTTTCCTCTCAACAGAGCACTAGAGGCTCATTTCATTGTGCACCAGTCATTCAGGATGTTCCATATTCAGAGATCTTCTCTCCAAAGAGTACATCAGAAGAGAGGAAGTGGGAAAAGAAACAGCAGAGAGACCAGAGGAAAGGGAGGAGGAGGATGCTGGAGACTGAACTCTAAGCAGGGAGAAATGGAGGCAGAGACAGAGGCAAAGGAGACAGAAAAGAGGCAGAGAGGTTTTGCAGAGGAGAAACTGTGTAATGGGAAATCTCATGACTCTGATGTCAGAGAAGAGCCACCAAGTTGAAGGGGACTGAGTCCTCTCATGAGTGAATTGATCTTCCACAATCTATAAAGTACTCTACATGTGCCCCAAAGATTGCTGAGCTATCTATAACACAGACTCAGTTTGAGCCCTAAAATAACCCAAAAACTATACATTAGCTATATGTATCTTGCTCCTGGATCTCATAAAATCTGGAGGAAAGGTGAGAAGTGAGAAGAATAAAAGAGGAGAGAGCTCGTTTCCCTGCTACCTGTCTGTCTCCATCATATTCCTGCAGCAGAAAATTTCCCACAGATGTTTAATTGGCCTTTGAGCCCCTGGAGCCACCAGGGCTCCTCTCCAGGGCTCTGGGGGAGGCCATGCCCCTAGCTCTCCTTGGCTGGCTTCTCTCCAGCATGCTCCAGCCTGGGGTATGGAGGAAGAGGAGGAGGTTATTCATCGTAAACTCTGCATCATCTCATTTAGATGCCACTGCAGTCAGCCATGGCAATAGTCACAGAGGAGGTATAAGAGAAGACTATCTCCAGCCTCTAGGCAGAGATTAGTAGAGAATAGTGGTTTAGTCAATACTGATCAATAAAGTGACTTTGAAAGCTAAAACCACAATTATTTCAACAGAGATTTACCCCAGAACCTCTTCTCCACTGATCAAGAGAACACAGAAAATGCAAAATCAGGGAGGAGAAATTAATTTTTTAATAAATATGTTATCTTTTGGATATAAAATGCTCCCCCAAAGGCAAGTTGGGCTTTTGGAAAGTGATTGGGTCATGAGTGCTCTAACTTCAAGTGCATTATCCACTGATGAGACCATAATTTGATGGCATTATTGAGAGGTGATGGAAATGGGTGATGGGGTCTAATAGAAGGGAATAGATCATGGGGGCAAAATCTTAGCGTTTGTATGTGGTCCCTAACCCCTTCACCTCTGACTCTTTCCCCTTCTCTCAGCTTCCTCTGCCATGAGGTGAGCAGCCTCCCTCTGCCATGCCTTTCTGCATGGTA